CAGGACGCCCTCCTGGAACACTCAGACAAGGCCAGGCCTCTGCTATCTGAATGACCCCTGTCATCTCCATGGCTCCAATTTTATTGTATAAATAGCTGTTTCCTGTCTGTCCCTGAGTGTCCACAGGGCCGTGGAGGGCAGTGTGGCCCCAGCCACTGACTGACCCGAGCAGTCAACAGAGATTTTATCAGCAAGACGTTTCCCTCCAGAAAATCCCAGCTCATTCTGGCCCAGAAGCAGGTGATCCCATGTGTCCAGCTGGGAAGACACCAAAGGGTAACAAACCCCAGGGCCGGGTCAGGCAGGCGGCTCTGAACCGCACTGCTTGGCTCCCGGCCCCTGTGCCTCATGGCAAGGAAGCACATTTCAGGCATGTGGGGTTTTGGGGGTGGGGAATAAGATGACCCTACACCTCCCAGCCTGCTGTACCCCAGCAAGGCTCCATCCCTGCCCACACCACCCCTTTCCCAGTAAGCAGCTCCTGCCTGGCCACTGGAGCCCCACAAAATTCCACACCGTCCACGAAGCTGCTCTGACCGCCCCGGCCCACGACAGCTCTCCTTCAGAAACTGGGGCTCAGCGAGGTGGTGCACTGATCTGGGGTACCCAGCCCCACAGGGGTCCTGCCTGCTACTCTTTCTTCTCGCGCTGAAGCCTCACCATGGCCCTGGGAAGGAGGCCCCATTCCACTGAGGAGACCAGGTGTGAGCCCGACCCGACTGTCCAGTCACCAGCTCACAAGAGCATCCGAACCCAGGCACCCCGAGTTCTTCCCACCAGACCTCGGGGTCTGTGAGGGCAGGCACGGTGTCTGGCTGATGGAGGGCTCTGGCCCCCTCGTGGCACTGCCCGGATCTCACAGCCAGGGGAAGCCAGTGGGCCTATGTTGGGAAGTGCTGCAGTGGGCAAAGGCACATTGCAGCCCCACTGTCCCTGTGTGTCCAGCACTGGGGTGGCCTTGCTGCCCTGGTGGGGGGTCAGCTCAGCCAGTCACATTCCCCGGGAAGCTGGTGGGTGCTGTGCACAGCGGACTGCAGCCAGGAGGGAGGTGTCCCAGGGCCATCCCTCAGCCACATCAGGGCTAGGCCACCCTCCCTCGTCCCCACTCCCTCTGCCTGAGTGTCCAGGGGCAGAGGGTGACAGTCACTGGCAGGGAATGGCCTCTGTGCTAGGACAGGCAATGCCCTCAAACAGGACTTCCAGAGCTGGCATTGGGGCCCCTGTGCCATCCCAGGAGAGCAAGGCCTGACCTCTCACCCTGAGGGCTCAAGCCCAGGGCTGGAGGCCAGCAGGGACCCGAGGCCCACCGGTGTACTCGACATCCCCTGCTCTGCATCATTCCTGTCTGCAAGGCCTGGGCCACTCGCAGGGCCCCTTCCCAGGAGGCTTTGCTTGCCTCCACAGCCCATGCTGACCCCGAGGCTGGAACCAGGCAATTTCTAGTCTCTGACTCAAAGAATACTTCCTGGGTCAGCCAATGGCGTGGTAGTTAAGATGGCTGGATCCCACATGGCCAACTGAGTGGTTCAAGTCCTGGACTCAGTGGCTTGAAAAACACATAGGGTGCATGTACGTGGCCAAAATACCAAGAAAAAAAATGGAGGAAAATGAATTGCAGTGTGGCCATCTCTCCTGAGGGGGTGGTGCTTTCTCTCTCTCTCTTGCTCTCTCTCTCCAGAGAGTACATGCACCCTGCAGCAAAACAAAACAAAAGGGCATCCTTCCAGGGCAACGTAGTCCTACTGCTGATGGGGGTAAGGCCAGGCAGCGTGGACGGCATAGCCAGCACCCCCCCCGTGCACCTGGCCTGCTGCAGACATGGCCACCCTGGGAGCAAAGTGGCTCCTCCCGCTAGGCAGGTGAGTAAACTGAGGCTCTCCAGGAGGTGGCCTTGAGCGAGGGCTGCTGAGGCTGCAGAGCCTGAGCTCTGATGAAGCAGGGGCTGAGCTGGGGGCCACCCACAGTAAATGAAGGGGTGCCCACAACCCCACCCAGTCTCCTGCCTTTTCAGGGGCGGGAGGGGTGACAACAGAAAACTGAGGCCCAAGGAAGTGAAGTCCCCTGTCATTGGCCAGGGGGAGGCAGAGCCAGCCCAAGCGCCCCAGCACCTCTCACCTTGCGCCAGAGCAGCTGGGCCTGCGGCGGGCCCGTGCCCTCGATCTCATGGCGCATGCTGTTGAAGAGAGCCACGCCATACTGGTCCTCGTAAAACTGGAGGAACTCCGTCAGGATCTTCCCGGCTCTCTCTGAAAGAGAAGACAAGAAACATGTGGTCCTCGTGGGTACCGACGACAGCGGGCCCCTCCAGGGCGCTGTCCTCCGAGCCCCAGATTTCTGCATGCAGAGCTGTTTGCACGAGCGTCTGCATTTCTGGCCTGGGTTGCGCATTTCCTGAGCAAGTCCGCTGCCTCGGGAGGGGTGAAGCCCCAGACAGGAAAAGGGATGACAGCCACGGGCCATGGAGACACCAAGGACCAACTGACCAATGAGAAGCCACTCCGCTCACCAAACCACGCGAACCGCACCAACTCAGGTTCAGCCTAGAGACGACGGGCAGGCGGGCACCTTCGCCCAGAGCGGGGCGCTGTGAGTGGCAGCGGCCAGGGGCTGCAGCACTGTCAATGGCACTGTGCCATACCCCACGCTCACGCCTGGAGCCCACCCGCAAGACAGCCCACATGGGAACACGAGGCACGTGCGCATCAGGGTGACAGGGGAAACACGCTAACATGCACCTGAGGCACGATCGATCCGCGCTGCGTCACCCAGGACAGTAAGGGACAGAGAGACAAACTGGGGCTGTGGTAAAAGGCGACACTGCAAGGCTACCCATGGGGGAAGGTGCCAGAGTCACATCTGAAGGCCTCCTGCGTGTGCCAGGCTCCCTGTGCCCAGGACCTGGGGCAGCCTCAGGATGCCGTTGGGGCACTGTCTGTCTCCTGCTCATGGAAGACAGGAATAAATAAACGTCAATAAAGGAAAGAAAGGAGGACGGACGGGCTCTGCCATCACGCGCTGCTCAAGAGGGGCGGGGCCTACATGGCGACAGCGGTTTGGATCCCTGGCCTGGTCGGCCTGACGCTGGGCACACGCCATGGGCTGGAGGACCAGAGCAAGGGTGTGGCACAGTCAGACCCTGTGGAGGGGGCTCCCCGCTTCGCCGCCTTCTTCGTGTGCATGCATAAGCTCTGTCATGGACAAAGAAGAATATATTTTTAAAAACCACAGAGGGAACTGGGCCAGCCAGAAGGGTGATAGTTAAGGCAGCTGGATCCCACAAGATTGACCGCATAGTTTGAGTCCTGGACCCAGCAAATGGAAATCACACCCGATCTGCACGTGTGTGTATCTCAAATCCCGAGAGGAGAATAGAAGAGAAGGGACTATGGTGCAGCCATTACCCGGTGGGGCTGTTTTCTCACCTTTTCTCCCTCTCTCTCTGTGTCTCTCTCTAGAAAGTGGACATGCCCTATAGCAAACTTGGGAGAAAAAAAGTGGAGGGAATCTATACTGATGTGTACCAACAAAGGGGAGGGGGCCATACCCTGCTGAAAGTGAGTCAGAGGGGCCAGCAGGTGGCATGGTGGTTAAGGCGCTGAATGCTCCCACAGGGTCGGCCACGGATCGAGTCCCAGGCCTTGGTGGTCTGCTTTCTCACTTTCCTCTCTCTGTGTCTGTATGTCTCTCTGGTCAAACTAAAATAATTGAATTAATAAATAAAATTAAATAAAAAGAAAGTGAGTTAGAGAACCACACATTGACTATCATCTCATTAAAAAAAATATTCCAGGACCAGCAGGTGGCACTGTGGTTAAGGCACTGGACTCCCACGTGGCTGACCGTGGTTCGAGTCCCAGACCTGGGGCTTGCTTTCTCACTTTCTTTCTCTCTCCTTGTCTTTCTCTGGCCATATTAAAATAAATAAATGAATAAATAAAATAAATAATTATTTTTTAAAATTATTCCTGGGCCAGCTCCCTAGTACAGCAGCAATGTGCGGCTCAAGAGAAGCTGGATCCCATGTGGCAGCTGAGGTTCGAGTCCCCAATCCTGTGAGCCTAGAACACGCCACCATGAGCACTCGAGACCTAATGGATCAGAGCAAGAGGATCATGACGTGACCAACGAGCGCATGTTTCTCTCACACACATGTGCGTGCACACGCTCTATCATGAGAAAGCATGACGGTTACTCCTGTTTGTGCACACACACCACGCAGGCTTGGGAACTCGGACAGGCTGTGGAGGGGACACACCAGGCTGAAAGGGAGGGCCCAGAGTGAGAGGGGAAGGTGCGGGGACTTCATTTTCTGCTCGGATGACTTCGGTAGCATTCCGATTATTTTACGACCACGCTCCTTTACAGAGTAAAAAACTACCTGAAGTGAATTCACCTAGGAGGTGAAGACGCCTCTGCTCTCACCAGCAGCCTGCTTCTCT